ACGCTCGCTAATGAGCATGCCACCTAGTCGTCGCGTAATTACTCACGGGATTGGTCGTGGCCGTGTTTAATCGTTGCCCACAAATCGACGAGCTGTTAATCGAGAATAATATAAACGATGGAGTAAATGTTGGAAAACCGTGTTCCGGCCCGATACACGGAATTACACGTGCAACCTCGAAACACAGGGATTATCGTCCCCGCCGATAATTCTTTCCCACTCACCGATTTTCACCCGATTTCACCTCGCCTCGAATTTATCTTCGATCACGATTCCGATCTGATTAACCGTTACGTGCTCGATTATTTCCTTCCATTTTTTTTTTATTACGCGCCATTATCATTTCTCTTTCTTTTTCTCTTCGAGAATATTCCCTTCTTCTCGTTTCGAAGACGAATGGAAGAGCGGGGTTCAACGAGGGGAGGCCGTAAACTTTGATTCGCGGCCAGAAAATTGTTTGGGGGTTATGTGTTATGTTTTAATTAAACCGCCTCGAAAACTCGGCTAATTCTAACGATCCTGGCCGATAAAGCTGATCAGCGAAATTGCGTTTACGCGATCCCATTATCAGGCCATCAACCCGATTCTCTGAAAATCCATCGGCAATTTTCGTCACCGAGTTAACTGTATTCGTTAATCCATTGACACGCCGTATCATATATAATAATTGGACACGATATTAAATTGATCTCGGTTCCTTGTAATTATCCGATAATACATCTTCGAATTTTTAGAAGAAGGTAAATTTTTTTCCAAGAAAAACGATGCTCGAAAAAGCTACCTCTTTTTCCCTTCTTCGTTATTATTTATTTTTACTTGTTTTTGGAAACTGCAAAACGCTACAGCGTAAACAAATTTCATCAAAAAATCGATATCCACTATCCGCTTCGATTTTCTATCTATACCCCGCGGTTAATTCAATTTCGACTCAATCCTCCCCGATCGGTATCCGAAAGAAAGAAAGGAAGAAGAAGAAGGAGAAAAAAGGTAAAACAATATCGTGTCGTAGCGGAAAGTTAACGAAGAAAAGCAATTTCGCGCGGGAGATGACATTCCTGGGAGCGCGACTATCGCGCGCAACTTGGTGGATCCACGCGTTATCGTCCTCGCGGGTTCCGCCGTAACAACGCTGCAACGATGTTTTCCTTCCATTATGCTTAATTGGACGGTGTACGGTTCCAAAGGGAAGGGCAGCGCCGTGGCAAGCGAAATCGCCGTCAGCGTTGAGAAGTTGCGAGCAGAGGAGGAACTTTGGCCAACTATGCGGCCAACTTGCAGGAAAGAAAGAAAGAAAGGTTTAAAAGTTGGGAGGAAATTAGAAAATAGCGGCAGGGCGATCCGCAGTGTCGTTCGACACGTTTCCTCCTCTACGCGGAATTTTTGGAAAAATTTTTGCTCACCTTTGTTTGCTTAAATTTGCTTTCGAGAAATATATCGAGGGCGATGGTGACTGGTTAAACCAGTTAACACTAGCTTAATTCTTGTCTCAGTCAGTCTTGCGCTGTGATAAATGGGGAGGAAGACGATGCCGAGAATACGCTTATTTCACGATTATCGTGGCAATCGATCAAAAGTAAGAAATACTTTTTCCTTTCGGTAAGAAGGATTAAATTCTGGGAGAAAAGAGATTATAGTTCGATAAAGTTTCCAACTCCCATCTATTATCCAGGATTATTAATGATTTTTCTAAAGTTTATAATTTACATTAGATGAATTCGTAACTTCAAAACCAGCTGTATACAGGCGAGAAGAGAGTAATAAAAATGTTTATATCTTTCGCGACAAAGAGATGAAAATATTCGCCCGCCAAGAAGAAACGTGACAGAAATTGATCGTATCATCCGTCGTATTCCACGTCGAACGAATAAAGATATAAGGATTCGCGTATATCCAAAGATCCAAAAATCCAAGTTTCTATCCCCGTATAACGATTTCTTCTTCCCCCTCCTTACGTTCCAGTTCCAGCGTTATTGCATTATGTATCACGATCGGACGCACGCATTAAAGTCCGGCCGCGAATAATCGAATCGCGTCACCGACCTCTCCGCCGTTTTCCAATGGAATAAGCAACGAAATTCCTGGATAGAGGCGAGCAGGGCCATAAAACTGTATTACGCGGAATCGCGGCGGGAGGGGGGCGGAACAAAGGCGCCGACACTCGGTCTCGGTTCTCTTCGTCATGTCGTAAAAACGCAGTAAAGGGAAGGGAAGCATCATCCGCGTTTTCTGCTTCTGCTCCTCCAGAAACGAGAGGAGGAGGGTTCGTTGGCCGAAACGAGCGCCAGATCGAGCCAATCCTCCCCGTCCAATTCTCTTCGTTTCAACTCGGTTTATATATTTTTCTCGGCGGGACAGCCTCGAGAATTTTTGCCTCGAGGAAAAATAAAAATTCGCGATACTTAACGGGCGATATTCTCTTTCTTAGGCGTAGCATAATTGACAAAGTTGGGAATTGGAAAAGGAAAGGAGAAGTTTCTAATATCGAAGGAAAATTGGGTAGGAAGAGAGAAAGAGAGATCGACGACAGCTACGTACGACGCTCTATCAAATCTAATAAATTGGATCTACTTCGGTTACGCGCGCGCGCGAGAGAGAGGGTTTAATGGAAAGGGTTCTTGATAGGGGTCTTTTACTTTTCCATCTACACTCCGTGTCACGAAAGTTATCACTTATCTTGTCGCTCGTACAGGGAACGTATCGTTAAGTTTTCGTATCGCGAAACACACACACGGCAGAAAAAAAAGAAGTTGTTTGTCCTCTTACACGAGTAATATCCCCATACGTCATTTATGACAGTGCATTAAAACTGATATATCGGCCCGCTTGAACTCTTGTGCACGGCCGGCTTTTTACAGACCGCGAATCGTTGTCGTGTCACCGACAAAAGAGAGATTTGTCAATGAGATTGCCCTCGCGACTGGTGGGCGTGGAACGACGCCAAAATCTCGATCCATCGAGTAACAACGCGTGTACGCGCGATTTGTCCCGTTTACGGGTCAGCCAAAACGAGTATGGTGATTCGTGTGTACACGCACGCGCGCGCGCGCGCGTGTGTGTGTGTGCAAGGGCTTAATAATTTGGCTTAATAAATCGAAGGGCTTAATTCGATAATTAGTCAAGTGACGATCGGCCGACACGCGCGAAAATAATTATCGCGGCGACGTTTCTGCAACCGATTAATAACCGGCCGCCGACGTTTCCAACGATTTCCAACCCACCTGCCACTGTGATAACAATTATTCCTAAGCCATTCGAACGTTATAATTACGTTCGTTTTCGCGATTGCCTCGAGCCGAACCGCGCTACAATAATCAACCTCGAAGGAAATTAACGATATTTCCTTTCAATTAGTCACATTCGATTCATGATCGAAATCGACCGAGTGTTTCCCCTTTGGAAACGGAAACGGAGGAGGATTTTTCACCAAGAATAATTAAATCGTTCGATATCGATTAATTCGACGATACGTGTACAACAGAAAATACGCGAGGAAAATATATCCGTGTGATTCTTTAATTCGTCGTAAAAGACGAAAAAGAGGGGAGGGCAGAATAGGAGAGGGTTATCGACTCGGTGACAAAGAGACAACGCGAACCGAGGGATAACATTGTTAAGAAACTTTTCTTGGCCGGGATACGCGACATTGACAAGAGGCGGCGGACGCGAAGTGACACGGGAAATCTGCAGCAAGGAAACGCAAGTTTATTTTCCCATGTCAGGGGAGTAGGAGGAGTAGGAACTTCGAAAATAGTTCTTGTAAAACGGAAACTCCGGCCGGGGGAAACCGGCGTAGGGAAAATTCTATGGAAGTTGGATTATCTTCATGGTGTTTCCCCGTTGGAAAGTCTTGGAGAGGAGTACACGGTTTCCAACGTGGCTCCAACGCATAACCATGCACGCTTCCGAGCGCGCCAACTTCCCTTGTAATTTACCAAACACGACGCAACGAGACATCTTCGTTATTTCTTCCCGCGAAACTTTCCTCCTCTTCGACTCCCCCCTCCCTCCTTCTTCTTTTCGATTCGAGGGATTCGATTAATCTCTCGCGGTTCGACAACGTCCCACGAGCCACGCAAGAAGATGCCTATTAAGAGTGGGTAATTACCGCGTTACTCGATTAAACTTCCACCGGGAAGGATCAAAGTGACTCAAGAAACTCGAGGTGTTTAACTCCTCGAGCCGCGCATATTCGACTAACGACGATAATGAAACCTCCCGTTCTATTTTCCGCTTAACGATTATCGAATTTACTCCTTTTCCTTGCCACGCAAACACGATCATCTATTAATCGGAAACCTGTTTTCAAGTCTATTAATTACGATTACGATAGCGAAACGAGCTTCCTTAAACTACTTTCTTAAGATAATAAAAAAAAAGAACTCGACGATCGGGTTTAATCGGCGAGTCTTTCGTGTACTTTGCGTAACGCGCGAGTCCGTCATCTCATCTCGATGATTCGACTCGTTTTTTTCTCCTTTCTTTTTTTTTTTTTTGTTGATTAAAAAACTGCGTTTCTCCGTTGTTACACATCACGGTTTATATTAGTTTCGGTATATCGTGATTGACCGATGTATGTTTGATAAAGGTTGGCCCCGCGTTTTTGCCTATTGGTTTTTCGCTTTGCCCCTCGATGTCACTCGCGCCCCGTGAAAAATACAAAACCGCATACGCGCGCGTGTGCCCACCACAGAGCTTTGGTGACGATCCGATCGATAGACCGCCGCCAATATTCCACCGATAACGCTAATTTCCCTAAACCATCCGAGCCGTGTTCCATCCCTGATCCCTAATTCGTTCTAAATTAAACCGTTGTGCGCCGTGTTGAAAACACGGCGATTGGAGGGCGAAATAGAACGCGACGAACAATCGTCGCGGAGGATCCGGTTGAAAATTGAAAACCCCTTTGAACCCCGTTCAATATCCAAAACGCGGAGCAGGCAGACCTGGATTTTTTAGAATCGGTCTGGGGAGAGGGCGAAAAACGGGGCCACCGCACTCACCTCGCTTCGAAGCGTGGAAACTGTCCTGCGGTTTTATCTGCTCAATCTGGGCGCTGAGACGGGACTTGGGCAGGATATCCCGGTTGGCGTTGATCTTTTCCACGGCATAACGAAAGGCCACTTCTTGCTTGTCGTCCGACGGATGAAACAGCCCACCTGGGAAATCACGCATCCATGTTAAAGCGTTACTTTGACGGGAGTGAATATTCCTTATTTCTCCCTCGCGCGGCCTACCCTTCTCTCTTTTCTTTCTTTTCTTTTTATCTCTTTCGATCTTAACGCGGATAGGACAGACACGCGTTCTAAGAAAATAATGGAATGTAAAAGTTTACTCGTCTCGCGAGCATCTCTACGCCCATTAAATATTGACGAACTGTTTCCACGATTCTTTTCCTTTCTTCTTTCGCGAAACGAGGGAAAGATTTTTTTGTACACGCTGCTCCGTGGACATTGCTTTCGACAGATTCAATATTCGCGATATTTCTTATTGATTCCAACGATCGAAATCGCGTGGATCGATTAAGATCGTAATGAATTATGAAGGACATTCGCGGGCTGGTCGCGAAAACACCGCAATCGTTCACGAAGGAAGAAAGATACACCTTTTGCAGGGTGAAAATGGGGCGAATTGCCAACGAGAGAGAATGGCCGCGTAATTCTCGTGACGTTAATATGCAATGAGCGTAAAGAAGTAGATAAAGTAAAAGTAGGTCGCTAAAAAAAAAAAGAAAAGAAAGAAAGGAAGAAAGAAAGAAGAAAAAGCAGGAAGACAAAATGAGAGAAGTGAAGAAGTATAAAGAAACGTTAAAACTTCGAAACTTGGTTTAACACATTTAAATTTCATAATTTTATATAGCGTTTTTAATGAAATTGTAGGAAATGAACAAATTTTTGATAATCGAGACAACAAAAAAAGAAAAGAGAGAGAGAGAGAGAGAAAGAGAGAGAAAGATTCTCGAGGAATAATTCGCGCGAAGCAAACGAACGAGAAGTTCTCATCTCGACTCGTCTCATTCGAGCGAGTTCGATTTCGATCGAATTCAAAGCGGAAAGGAATTGGCGCCATAAATTGATTTTAATCTCGCGCGCGTCATAAAGTAACTTGGCGAACATCTGCGCCAACCTGACTCCACAATTTATAGAATTCACGGGATAGATTTACGTCTCTCGTTAAGGATGGGCATCGATTAATTTCGAGAAGGAATTTCCACCGGTATCCAAAGTATCGGATCTCGATAAAGAGAGAAGGAAAAAAAAAAAAGAAAGAAAAGAAAAAAAGAAAGGAAAAACCTGGTAATAAAGACGCTAGAAATCCGGATTACGGGGAGGAGAGAGCGGATCATAAAGGGACTAAGAGCGAAACAAAGCGAAAGGAAACGTTAATCCTCGCGGTCATAAATCTCGGTCGATTTGGCACACCACCGAGTCGAGATAAACCTTAGAATTCACCGTAAAATTTTACCAACCTCCAACCTGGAACTAGTTACGTTTCTACCTGTATCCCAGCTTCATCTCCCGGAGAGCGTTTCCTCGGCGAAGAGCGTTTAATCGCGCGGAGATGGAGTTATGATCCGGTCGTAAAAAAGGTCGTTGATATTATTGATTAAAAGAAAAAGAGTTAATTTATTTCGCGGGTCGATCGAGTGACGCCTCTCCTTTCATCTATCTATCTACCTATCTATCTATCTCTTTTTCCCTTCTTTTTCGCCTATCTATCTATCTATCGCCTCGTCGAATTAATAAGACTTGAATATTCATTGATTGTTAATGAATTACTTCGCGTGCGAATCCTCGACTCTCGACGGCGCGAAACAGAAAAAAAAAAAAAAGAAAAGAAAAGAAAAAAAAAAGAACGATAAATTGATATCGCGTCTCGATACGTTCGTTCGGTCAACGTATTCGTACGTGAAACGAGGATTTAATTACTCGCGCGAGGAATTTTCAACGAACGGTGTGACGAATAGAGGCGGAACAAGAGTATAATTTTATTTGAGTGGATGAAAACGATTGAAGGCGCTCGGAAATTATTATATTATACGGTTAATGCTTTCTTCTCGACGACGTTGATTCGATGATCGGTGATAAATGATCAAATTTCCCGAGTGAATTTCAAGAGAAAAATGTCAAATCGTCCGTTTTATTCCGTGTTATGATTGTAAAGAGCTTATCAGTCGGATTCGGACGCGTTTGTTAAAAGTTTGACGAGTAGTTGCGAAAAAGTGAAGCGTGCGTTCCGCGATAAAACGATACAATAGCCGACCGTGTAGCAATGACACGGTCATCGTTGAAACCGCGTTGTTAAGTTGTTGCTATCGTTTACGCGAATCGCAAGGTAATTCCATCGCTCGAACAAGTACCTACCCGACCTGAGCGTTGTTCACATTCCCCGGATTCCAAGGAGAACGTTTCGCTTTGTCATCCCGGTTGTCCGACCGTGCACCGGTGTTACTACTTACAGAAAACAGACACTTCGAGGAGAGGAGATGTTACACACTGCGCCCATTAATCTTTCGTATCGTTTCCAGGCGAACAATATATGCGAAAGCAAATATTTACTAAGAGCAAATAAATAACGTAATAATTCAACGAGATTTAACTGGTTCGTTCGGGTTAATATTATTTAAATCCTATTAAGTCCTCGCCGTTTTATCCTTTTTTTTCTTCTCTGCGAAGGCCTGTCCGGATAATATCTGCTTAACCTTTCCGACACGACCCAACCAGCCCAACTTTGACAAGGATTACAGGAGTTAAAGCCTATCAAAGGCCCCACCAACCACCACCAAAGTAGCCTCGTTTAATTTTTAAAAATTACCACCACCCTTCAATTTTTTCTCAAAAGGATTAACGTAACTAATGGACGAACTCGAATCTTCGATCGAGATTCTCCTCTGTCGAAGAGAACGTATCGATTTCGTTTCGCCAAGGTGGAAGGAAGCGAGAAAGGGATGTAAAACGGTGCGAATGGTTGAAAAGGGAGCGAAAAGTGAAAAGAGGAAGGAGAGAAAAAAAGAAAAAAGGAAAAAAGAAAAAGAAGCGAAGAGAGAGAGAGAGAGAGGCTTTTAACTCGAGAAGGTAGAGACTGGAAAGATACTCACCTATCCTAATGATATCAGGAAGAGCCGCGGCGTGGGCGGCGAGGAGCGCCAGCAGGAGCCACCTCGCAGCCATTTCCGGTTCCGGTCCGCTCCACCGTCTCTCCCTCCGCCTGCGACGCCACCGCCACCCCCCCGCGCCCCCCGCGGGAGCCTGCGCCTCCCCTCTGCCGTGGAGACTCACACCGCTGGAAAACAAGATGGGATGGCGAGTTCATTAAAATGCGCCGCGCAAACCTTCGCGTCCGGCCCTCGAATATATCCTCTGGCGAGGAAAAGAGGGCGGAAAAAGGGAGGGCGCGACGATGACACCGTAACGACCGGCGTGCCACGACGGATTAGAGAAGTCGACCAACCTCGATTTCGACTCTTGTCGTCCAACGAGGGAACGAGGGCAGAGGATAATCGGATAATAAGATGCGATAATAGGATGATGATGATGATGATGATGAGGGATCCCAGATCTTTCTTCTTTCGTTCGTCTCGAGTGATGCGATCGAGCATCGAGAAATTCTGTCTCGTACGGTTGTTTTGTACGCGATACGAACGTGGACGTCCATCTACCAACCGGCCAGATAAATTGACGAGAAAGAAAAAATCGTTGCGAACTCGAGGGGATCAGTTTTGAAAAATAATGATAAAGAATAACCGATTTTTAACCGATTTTATAGAAACTTGAAACAATTTAAAATACACGGATAACAACGGTAACAGTAATTAATTTTAACTTTTTCGATATTTGTATATACGAATCCAATATTTCATGCACGTGTTATTATTATTCCTCGTTCGAATGGGAAAGAAAATAAATGAATAATTCGCTGGAATAAAATTACGAAAACTTGATATTCGGTAGATCGGACGAATTTCGTAGACGTTCGTGGAGAAACCAGGTAGGACGGTTGTGAGAGCAGGAGCATCTCTTTCATCGTCCTGTGCAACGACGACGACGACGACGACGACTTCCCTTTTATAAAAGAAAAATGAAGGAAAAAAAGAGATCGGTGTCACGCAACAGCAAGCAGCCCAGACGCGACGATGTCGAAGAATAAGTAAGACAGCGTGGAATAAAACCGTTGGAAAATAAAAGCAACCGCTGGCGCGTTTTTTTCTAAGCCCTCAGCCTCGAGGCTGTTTACGCTCGCGCAACCACTGCAAACGCACAACAATGTGTACAGGCGCGAATGTATACGTCTCGACATCGAGCGTGGAAAAAGTATGGCATCGTAACGCAACACCCGAAGAAAATGGAACCCGTGAATGCTGAATACGACCGCGTTGAAATCTCACGTGGGCACAGCAGGAAAAAATTTTTTTCCTTTTTTTTTCTTTTTTTTCTATTAATTTTATCTCTGTCTCTATCTGTCTCTCTCTCTCTCGGTCTCCTTTCCTTTAATTCGATCCACCAGCAAAACTTCACGCGGATATTTTCTACCGGTGATTTTTCCTGTTTGCGCAATCTACAATTTCCCAGCCGGATCTGCCGTTTCGAAAAAAATAATAATTTTTCGCGACCGGTCCCTTCCAATCGCCGATCGGAAATCCTCGATACACGGAGAACGTGGCGCAAAAAATCATTCCACGATCTATAGCCCCGGCGATTGTAACGTGAAACAAGCGAATCGAAAAAAAAAAAAAAAAAAAAAAGAACGTATAAGTACAA